TGCAACTTCAGTTCCAATAGTTCCAACAGTTTCAATAGTACCAACAATACCAACAATATCAATAGTATCAATACCAACAACAGTTCCCTCCACTTCACTAGAATCAGCAGAACTAGAACCAGCAACATGGACGCCGGTCACCTCCTCGAGGACCGGTGCTGTCATGAGTCCCAACTTTTCCTCAGAACCAGACTCCACCTTGGGACCCAGCACTAGGTCGGCGTTCATCACCACCATGGCAGGTAGTTGACTAGAGAAACTAGCCGCAGTGCAGCTACCAAAGCGATCAACAGCAATGATCGCGCAATGATCAACAACATCGTCGCCAGCCCGAGAGAGAAGTAAGTAACCGACAATCCAAAGTGAGGGATGAGGATCCAGCCTGGGACCCATCCTATCACCCCAGCTAAGGCTGTTCATGAGAAGACCCAACCCGACCAAACTGACCAACCCGGACCGACCAACCCGAGTCAATCGGGTTTTCTTCAGCACCGGTCGGTTTCGGGTTATAAAAAATCATAAACCGATGATTCGGTTCGGTTTTGGTTTTCATGTGTGAAAACCGAAACCGACTTAGTAGTTAGTTCCTAGTTAGTAGTTACAACCTACTTAGTTCCTACTTAACTAAGTTGTCTTTATCCTAGTTACAACCTACTTAACTAAGTTGTCTCTCAAACTCTGCTCCCTCCACAACTAGATCCATGGATGGGCCACAAAACATTAAGGAAATGCTGGTTTCCTTTGGGAATGTAGAGTCAGAAATGAACACTTGAACAACAACTAAGTCACCACTAAGTAGAGCCGAAATCGACCCAAACCAACTCAAACCGATCAGGTTGGTTTTGTTTAACACAGGGCCGGTTTTGGTTTCAATTTCAGGTAACCTGACCAGGTCGGGTCGGTTGGAAAAACATCAATAAACCGACCCAACCCGACCGTGAACAGCCTTAACCCCAGCCAGCAAGATCCAGCTTGTGTTTGTGAGAACGCCAGTAATAGAGACCAATTCTCTGCTCGTGGTAGTGTCTGAGATTGGGAGAACACTAGGGTTATTCCGGCCCATACCGAGGTAAACAACACCAACAACGAAGTAAGAAAGAAGTGACACCGTTGTCGTGCACGCCGCACCTCGGGTAAGAACAGTGTCGCCCCAACAACAACAACAGAGGAAAGAAGGGAAGAAGTGAGCTCGGTAGCAGCATAGTTGGCTCTTATCTCATTGAGCTGGCCTTCCCCTCTAGCACCAAAGATCCTCTCAGCCCCAAGGCCGGAGAACTTTAAGACCCCAGCCCTAGAGACCTACAACGTAAGCACTGATCCAAACGACCATGTAGACAATTTCCAGTTCCTGATGTTGCTCATGGGAGCTGATGAAGCTAGTCTGTGCATGGCCTTTTCAACGACTCTTAAAGAAGAAGTGAGGTTATGGTATCGGACTCTACCTCTAGGTTTGATTAGGAGTTGGAAGCAGTTTGTCAACTTCTTCACGGTGCACTTCACTACCAGTAAGAAGTGCCCGAAGTCAATAACAAGCCTCCTGAACGTGGTACAAAAGGAAAATGAGTCATTGAGAGACTACATCAGATGGTTCAACTCAGAGACACTACAGGTACCCAACCTTGACCCAGCCGTGCAGCTCATTGTGGCCAAGAGAGGAGTATGCCACCCCGATCTTTGTTGGCACCTCGAGTTGAACCCGCCGAGAACCATGGAGGCGTTCCTCGAGGAGGCCGACAAGTTCATTAAGGTGGAAGAGGATCTGGGGTCCCGGTTACAGTTGTACTAGGCCAGGAAAAGGAAGAGAGCAGAAGAAGAACCAAGTAGCAGTAAGCATCAGCGATGAAAGAGTAATTGCTGAAACGAAACAAATTACCGTGCAGCAGGCAAAGCAAGTTGTCGAGAAAGAGTCGACCACCACCTCGGGGTTCTAGGTTAAGTCAGCGATCTAGGACCCCCCCAATTCAGAGATCCATCTACACCACCCTGAATGTCAAGCGGAGCGAAATCTTAATGCCTATCAAAGATATCGGCTACATCAAGTGGTACTGCCATTTTCCATCGGGACATTGGGCACGACATAGAAAGTTGTCACAACCTGAAGGATGAGATCGAGGAGCTGATCCATTGAGGTTACTTGAGGAAATTCATCAAGTACGAAGACAGAGAGATAGATCGCTGACCTGTTGAGCCGCGAAAGGACGCACCAGAGTCGAGCAGGCGAAACGATCGCGAGCAACCACCTCGGGATCCACCAGTAGATGAGAGACCGATCTACGGGGTGATTAACATTATTACCGGTGGGTCATTGTAGCATGTTGTAGTACGGTAGCAGGAAAAGCATTAGTTTGGGAGCTCGAGCATGAAGAGGAAACCCACCGAAGTGCCCTCGGGTTGAGGAGGTGATCTATTTCACTGAGGACGACGCTCGCGGGATCCAGTATCCGCACGATGATGCCCTCATCGTCAAAATGATAATAAATGACTTTGAGGTGAAGCGGATCCTATTAGACTCAGACAGCTCCACAAATATAATATTCCTGGAGGCATTCGACAAGCTGAAGCTGGAAAGGAAGGACCTTTAGCCGGCAAACACCCCCTGGTTGGGCTTAGTGGAGATGTGGAGAGGCCCCTTGGTAGAATCATGGTATCGATAGTAGCAGGAGCGAGGCCCAATACAGTCCAGTTTGAGCACACGTTCCTAGTGGTCGCTACCCCGCCCCCTTACACTRTGATTCTAGGTCAACCCATCTTGCATGCACTTTGCGTAGCGGTGTCAACCTACTACCTCGTGATGAAGTTCACGACGAGCTACGGAGTGGGGGTAGTATGGGGCAATTAGTTAGAGTCACGAAAGTGCTATGTCGCGGCGTTGAAGGGCAAGGTGAAACTAGAGGATGACGTTGAGATAGAACCTCCCCCCGAGCACACCGAGGAGCGAGTTGCACCAATGGAGGACACAGTCCAGGTTCCAGTCTCAGATACCAAGCTCACGAAGACTCTCCAGATCGGCGCTCGCCTAAAGGAACCTCTTCGGTCGCAACTGGTAAGTTTTTTATTGAATAATTTAGATGCTTTTGCTTGGTCAGCAGCAGAGATGCCCAACATTGACCCTAGTATAATAACTCACAAGCTTAATGTGGACCAAGTCCCCCCAACGACAAGTTTCAGCTTTTTTGGGGGGGTTTTACATAAATACCCCCTAACAGCTATAAACAGCTATATAGGGGGGTATTTATGTATTTTGCTTATAGAGGGGAGAAAAATGACACAAATGCCCCCAATAGCTATATAACAACTAGTTTAGGAGGGATTCCTGGGCAAAGTTATAAATAACTCTACAATGACCAAAATACCCCTCCCAACAACTAAAAAACAATTAGTTTTTAGGGTATTTTGGGTAGTTGAATTATTTTCATTTCTTATAAATAGCCTTATGGCTTCTATGCAGCTATCATCCACCATTCTTCTCATCACACAAATTCAACAATCAACATTCAATAATTCTCTTATTCTCTTAATCTCTTCCCTCTCTCAATTTCTCTCAATCTTTCATACATTCTCTACAATCTGAGTGAACTCTGATAATCTGATTGGCTGATTGTCTAATGCTCCAAGTTAGCAATTTGGGAGGCTTGGAGCCTTAGACGTTGAAAGGCTTTAACCATTGAAATCAAGTTGGGATTTTGAACTGGCAATCCGGGGTAAGTCCAATTAAATTAATTTTATTTTTTTAGAATTTAAAAAAAATGGCCAGCTCTTCCCAAAACCCCAAGTTTAGTAGCTCGATTTGGAAAATATTTAAAATAGAGGATGTTGAGGAAAAGGGGAAAATAGTAGTTTTCCAAAAATGTAGAAAAGACTTTAGCTATTGTAGCAAGGGTGGTACTAGCCATTTGACTAGACATTTTCTCTCACATGAGAAGGAAGAAGAAATAACCCACAATTTAAATGAATTGTTGAAATAATGGAAAATAAATTTTAAAAATATTGGGAGAAGTTGGAGAACATTTCTCACCACCAATCCCGCCATGGCATGTGATTTGTGATCTACTAACCCCTTTGGTGTCTACAGGCTATAGTTCCATGAGAGTCTTGTTTAGTTGTTTTAGTGCAGGACTTGCAGGTACCCCTATACTAGGGTTGGCTAGATGCAGTCATGATGCTGAATATAGATTACAACTTTACAATTACAAGACAAAGGAGGGCATGATACTACTACATACACCAAATATTTCACTTGAAGCAGATGATGAAAGTGTTAATGCTTTCATCATAATGTATATGTAAATTTTGTTTAAATTGTAAATTTTAACAAATAACCCACAATTTTTTATTTTATTTTCAAGTTATTGTAAATTTTGTTTTAATTTTATTTAATTTATTTGCTATTAATGTAATTTTATATTTTCAATTTGTAACTATGTTGTATTTTTTATATTTTATTAATTTATTCCGTTTTCATATTCCATTCATCCAAGTATGAAGTATGAAGTATGAAGTATCCAACCATTTTATATTTCAATATTTGTATGCTTTGTAATTTGTATCATTATTCATTCAAATTCAAATGATATAAAATTCCTATTTGAATTGTTTTATACTTTTATTTATTTATTTTTTGGACAATTGTAAATTCATCATCCATAACCATATCCATTTAGTCTAACCCGGTTCGGCCCCAGGCCGCCCTGTGGCCCATCCCGGCATGGCCTGCAACACGACACGGGCCTGGGCTATGGGCCGTGCCGAGCCAACCCCCAGAATTTTCATTGAGAAGGGCAGCATGGCCATGATGGCCCACGGGCCAGCACGGCACCGTGCCGACCCGGCACGGCCCACTTTACACCACTAAGCGTGGCTGGCTATAGCCTATAGCCTATCCACAACGATGACAATCCTCTCTTCTGTTATACATGTTATGTTATCTTGGAGGATAAATGGAACCCATTTGCAATTGAGATCTAGGAGGTCGTACAGAGCTAGACCATAGAAACTAATTTTAATTTGTAGAGCGATCCGATTCATGTAGTAGAATTGAATAAAATTAATGCGTTACAAAAGAAAAAAAAAAACTAGAAGTGGCTAGAGAAACTAGTTCAATACATATTCCGATGCCCTTCAATTCCTTAAATTAAGGTGATGCGGGCGCCTCGTTTTGAACCAACCATGCATTATGGCGTGGCGTGATTTGCACAGAAGCTCTGGGAGTGACCGGGGAGGCTGCTAGCTCATCTCCTTCAATATAATCCAATTCATTTGTGCGTGCATCGATATCTGATATCTCAATAATTAATGAACAACAGTAGTACTTGTGATGATGGTGATCCACATCATCATCGTCGTAACAAATATGAGAATTATCATTGAATTTTGGTGGCTTCTTATACCCGATGAAGCGCTGCTGGGTGTCTTGGTTTGTTCGTGCTTGCCCACATCAATCATGATCTCAAACCTGCAATTTTCTTGAGATGGATCTACGGTTGTAATGACCGATAGATTGGAGAATTGGCATGCTCCCTTCTGTTGATTTTCGGTCTGATAGAACATATTAAAAGCATACGAGGCATTGTTCCTTATATCCAACCCACCACAAGATGAGCCATATCCCAGACTGGTGCAATCCGCATATGTGCATGCATAGTTAATGCTCTCCGGAAAATTTGAGTCCATAATATTTGCTTCAGGCGACATAATACACCACTGCCTTGCCAAATATTCAACGCCCTTAGCTGCGACTAGATTCCGACCATTACCCAAGTCCAAGGAGTATTTAATCGCCCCATCAAAGTAGAAAATACCCCAATGCCGCTCGAAGTTTCCGGGTTCAACGCTTTTGATATCCTCATCCACCAGTCCGAAAAGGTAAATGTCGGGTGGGTTGGGACGTTTTGGGGTGCCTTTGCCTTGGACTATACGATTGACAAGGCCTTGGTTGAACCTACGGGCGTACTCCAAGTTTGCGTTGGGATCACCATCTGTGGGCCATCCGACTTCCCCAACAATGATAGGAACTGATGAAAACCCATTCTTCTGAAGAGCCCAAATCAGAGTATCGTAATTGGCCTCGAAAACGTTAGTGTAAGAGATGGAACCATCCACAACCGAGGAAGAAGTTCCATCGAAGAACGCGTAGTCCACTGGGAAATGGGGGTCAGCATAGAGACTAAGGAACGGATAGATATTGATGGTGAGTGGTGCACCGTTGTCGCTGAGGAATCTGATGATGGACACCATGAGCGTACGGATGTCGGAGCGGAAGTCGCCGCCGGAAGGTAGATTGTTGTCCGTTTGGTACACATCTGCGTTCAATGGGATTGTTACCTTCACTTGTCTACCTAGTCCGGCTTTGATTAGTGCAGCTTGGATGTTTTGTAGCGCGGGAAACGTAGTTTGTTTGTAAGTGTCCTTATAGGTCTTGAGAAAAGGTTCGTTACCAACAGCAACATACCTGCAAATTATTAAGAAGACAAATTATTAATTAATTAAACGGCCGGGAGCTAGTGATCATCATATTCATCACATCGATGAGTTTTTCTTTCTTTCTTAATTTAATTAATTTATATATACTTGTATTTCTAGCTAGCATCTCTAGGTGAAGACTGAAGTGCTCGCTCAAGCAGTCAATTAAGCTGCATGCATATATATATATATATATATATATATGTATATATATTCAGAATAAATAACTAATTATTATTAGTTTGAATGCAGCAGTCAACAGAGACCAATTAGCTTACGTACGTACCTTATATCCACACCATACTTGGAAATATACAAGGAGACGTTCTGTTGAACCCAGTCCTCGGCAGCTCGCACGGTACTCGCAAGTGGTGCCAAGAAGTCATTGGGTATTCCCAACATAACCTCAATCCCAGATCTTCCTAAAGCCCTTAATGGTGCAGGTTCGGCTTCGAAGAGCTTCACTTTATCGAACCCATTGTCCTTCAATAGCTTGACTACGATGTTGGGTGGCAATGGATGTGAGGCACGAGTTCCCCAGTTGCATCCGAGGCCCTTAGCAACTGCAGGACCTTTGCATACCGCATAGACAATGAAAAACCATACCAAATAATTATGGAACCCCATTTCTTTTTTCTCTTTCCTTCAAGTCAGCTTTGCCTTTGCGTTTTCTTTTCCAAACGCTTTAATTTAAATCATTGGTAGAGAAATTGCCCAAATAACGAAAAGAATAATTATTGTTTGAGTTAACAAGGAATTGGATTCCTCAAGGAAGTCCGATTCATAAATAACCTCAATTCTTGGCTGGGTAGTGTAGAAGAGGTCCCAAGGAAGAAAGGAATAGAGTGAAACTTGTTGGTGCATCGGCATCAGCATCAGCATGGCCATTATTTATTTATTATTATCACCCCTCCATCCAGTGATGAGCTATTCCTTGGATGATAGAAAAGAGTTCGCACATGGAAGAAAGGTACCGTACCTTTCTTAAAAACTTTTTCTTTCTCCAGAATAAATATCACTCCAACAGTTATCGGTGGCGTTGGACGGAAAGTCTCTATTGTCTTTTCTACACCATTTCTCATTGCTGCCACCTTGGTAAAATAAATTAATATTCTAGATTTAAATTCGCATCTCCACTTTCAGAACCTTTCCCATTTTTAATTGGGAGAATGAGCAATCAGCCCAGATCAGAATTTTATAGCCTCATATAGTACAGTACAGAGGGAATGCATCCTAACCATGAATTGATGTTAAATTTATGGGTAGAATGTGGTTTACAGGGGTGGAGAGGGCTAGTAGTAGTAGGGGGCTGGAATTCAGAATTCTGCATCAGGTGTATCCTTACTTCTCTGTTTTTAATTTGTTTCGATACATTAATTGGCATGCAGCTGCTAAAAGGAAGAGCAAAACCATCCCTTGAAAAAAATGGTGTATGAAGAAATTAAGCGATCAATTACACTTGAATCGCCCATATATTAAGTAGTTCATTATTATGAACATAGCATATTTTGTATACAAATACAATACTAAAAGCCTCGTATTTACATGCTATCATCATCTCCCCATGATGATGGTAACATGTAAATACAGAAGATGTTCCTAATATACAGCTGTAATATCAGGTGTGGGTAGGGGATTCGGATTCCAAAAAGTTAAACTAGTGACCCATCATGGGACGATTAGAATTCAAAAAAATATGAAATACTTCCAGAGTTTATACTTTTTTGTAAAGATATCTATTAATTCTTTTTTCGTGTTTCTTATTCATGTGTTTTTCATTAAATTACTTTTCTGACCCAATGCATAAAAAACTAAATTTGGAGAGAGTTAATATTTCTAATCTTAATTGATTTATTTATTTTTAATTATATTACTTTTTGTAATTAGTTTTTATATTAAGTAGTTTTTCTAATATAATAAATAGAACATTGGATTAATACCAAATTAAATGAAAAGATATTGAATAGACATTTTAGGTAATGACAATCAAATTCCTAAAGTTTTCGCAATTAACGACAATTGAGTTTCTAATGTCAAATGGCCACCTTTATCTTTAAAAAAAATGCAAGAAAACGGAGAACGGTCATGGCAAGCATAGATTGTTTCCTTGTATACCATTGTAATAAAAAGGAGAAAGTATATACAAATGCACAATTTGAAACTTTAAGGAAAATATTCTTGGAAGGTAGGATTTGTTTTCAAGAGTAAAGGGCTTGCCAATCTTGAGGCAAATGAAAAGAAGAAAAGTAAACTGATCAGGATGTATTCATGATTTTTTTTTATTTTTTATTTTTGAGAGAAGGTAATGTATTCATGAATGGTGACTTTGACCTTGAGTTATTTCTTCTTGACTAACAAACTACACACTTCTTGCCTCAGCTAGCTTGCCTCTTTCACCCCGAGCAATAAGCAACTCATAGTCCTGCATTTCTCAATATATTTCAAGGTGAGAGTTGAGTGCCAACAAAATTATGCTATGCATGGGTGCATACAAATTGTTATGAGGGATACAACGACAGGTAAACTTATCAGGGCAATATCCATATGAAGATTAAAGTGCATACAAATTGTGTCTTTGTTGGAGGAAACCTGGTATCTTGGAAGAGCAAAAAATAAAATGTTTTGAGGTGGATCGCTACTTTTTTAGAGAAGAGTTGTATTGTGACAATCAAGCAACCATCAATATTGTCCACAATCCAATATAGCATGATTGTACTAAACACATTGAGGTAGATTGCTACTTTTCTAGAGAAGAGTTACATCTCAAGAGGTTTATTTGCCATGTCATATCTGATCTACAACTTGCTGATGTTTTCACCAAAATAGTTACTAGAGCCAAAATAAAAGTTGATTTACACAAGTTGGAAATGATAAATATCTATTCCCAACTTGAGGAAGAATGTAGAGTTATAACAGATTGATTATGGGCCTGTTTTATTTTCTCTTATTTTGTTCTTAGGGTGGTGCGGCATTTTGATCATTGTATACTTTTTAAATCTCTCTTATGTAAATACAATTTATTGGAGCTATTCTACTCCCTTTTTATTCTCATTCTCTTCTCTATTTCTTTTCTCATTCTTCTTCTTTCTTGTCAGATTTCTGTTCTTTTTTCTCTCTTAAACTGAAATAGAGTTCTGCTACTTGATAGCTCGACAAGTGTACTAGCATTAAATACTTGTAAGGCATAGTTTGGAAAGAGTACAAATACAAATATGTACAGCGCAAATACAGGTTTAAAAATGCAAAATACAAGACTTTGCACCGTACATATTTGTATTTGCACCCTTTCCAGCCTAAGTCGCAAACTCGCAATTATGTCTACTCCACCGTTGGATTGAGTGGTCTATGGCCCTCAATTTATCCTCCATGTGTTGGACAAACCATGGGCCCACAGGACCAGCCACATGATTGATGGAGGAGGTTCATTCACGTAGATATACATGCACACACAAGATACCTTCTCTATTATTATTAATATTATTATTCTTATAAAAATATTTGTTATTTGGTTTAACCTTTTCGCAAACATTGTTCATGTGAAATAATATGTTATTTGGTTGAGAGAAGATCTCAACCACTTGGGACAGGTGTCTGAGGTCTCATCCCAAGTAAGAGATCAGCATAACGTTTTAGTGAAAGAATGGGGGCTGTTACCTATTATTTAGACCTGCCCCAACATTTTAATTGGAGTCTCTATAAAAGGAGTTCCAGAGTGAGATAGCCCATGCATGAATGAATAAACTAAGCTATCTAATCTAGAGAACTCTCTCTTAATCTATTTCATCTCATCATGCACAGATGCACTTTCATTGGAGAAGAAAAGTTAGGTGCAAAAGGACTCCAACTTTTCAACAGCCCGGGTTTCAGCTATCTATACGACCTACTTCCACTTAGAACCCCAACATACTGGTCTTACACAATCCACGATTGAAGGAGGAGCAGAAATCCACTATGAGATCGGCAATGGAGAAGATTACAAGGCTATACACTCACAATCTCACACAGAAAACCCTAAACCCCAAATACACCCACAATCACTCAACTTCTTTAACAAACCAAAGACCAATATGCAAGAGAAAAAACCCCAAAATACATAACTCTTCGTATTCAGGTCGGACCCATAAGCTGAATATGGATTGGGTCCCCAAGCCCATAGCCCATCACTAACCACTTTGAAAATTTGCCTTTAGTTTTTTTTTTTACCTTAATTCGGAGTGGATTCATGAAGCGGGCCACAACAAAGAATTCAAGGCACAAACATAACATTACTAATAAAAAGAGGTAATACAAGTACATTACTATACGTTAGTTTAGGAGATTGTTAGAGCCGGCTGTACAAGGGTAGTATAGTCCTTTTATGTTTAGTTATGTATGTATTGTTCAACTGATGTTGCTCTCACTTAAGTGAGGGCACAATGGTAATTCTTGTATATCTTAGAAGAGTATAAATAAAAGAAGGGCCGACTAGAGGGATTTGAATTTTTTCTCTGTAGTTTGGCTGTGACCTTTTCTCCTTCTCCTTCTCCTTCTCTCTCTTCTTCTCTTTTTTCTTCTGATCTGAACTTATACGAACATCTAGTCTGAGTTTTATCATGGTATCAGAGCCACGATAATCAGTTTAGATAAGTCGTCTCCTTTTCTCTCTGTTCTGCGCATTCCTTTCTAGGGTTTTGCAGAATTCTCATTGATACTGTTGAGCAGAAGAAGAAGAAGAAGAAGAAGAAGAAAGGAAGAAGAAGAAGAAAGGAAGAAGAAGAAGAAAGGAGAAGAGAAGAGGCTGCAGACTTAAGGCCTCAAAAGAACTGCTTCATGCGAGTGAAGCATTTGTATTTATACTATACTGGCCGTACAACACAAGAGGTCTACAAAATTACAAAATTACAAAAATACCCTTGCGGGCACTAAACCTGTGTACAATACATACAATACATCTGTCAACACTCCCCCTCAAGTTGGGGCATAGATATCAATCATGCCCAACTTGTCACAGAGATCTTGGTGTCTGGAATGGTTTAACCCTTTTGTAAAGATGTCTGCTAGTTGGTCTTCAGAGCTGATGTATGGAGTGCATACTTCACCTGTGATGATTTTCTCTCTGATAAAGTGCTTGTCAACTTCAATGTGCTTTGTTCTATCATGTAGTACCAGGTTAGCAGCGATACTTATAGCTGCCTTGTTGTCACAGAGTAGAGTCATGGGTTTATCAACTCGAAAACCCACTCTCCCAATAGATTCTTTATCCACATACCTTCGGCTATTCCGTGTGCCATTGCACAGTACTCAGCTTCAGCATTGGATCTAGCTATCACGGTTTGCTTCTTACTCCTCCAAGTAACAAGGTTCCCTCCTACAAAAGTGCAGTAACCACTAGTAGATTTTCTATCACTTTGAGATCCAGCCCAATCCGCATTTGTGTAAATTTCAACTCTCAAATGTCCATGTTTCTGGAATAATAAGCCAGCACCCGGGAACTTCTT